TCTGCTAACAAAGCAACAGAGTCATTTGCTGTTATGCTCACCCAGATGAGGGAGAGAAATCACCAAGGACAGAGAACATACTAAGGAATATTAGTGATGTGGCTCATGAGTGAATAGAACTCTTGTGTGCTGGATGTTTAATGGTAGCTTCATTTTGTCCCAGTCTTGGCTGGCTGGGGCTCAAGCTCAAGATAATATTAGGGTGTGCTTGTATCCTACAAGAAGGAGCCTAGACTACTAATTCTCAATTGGGGGCATTCCCCCCTCCGAAATCCTCCAGAGGATATTGGCAGTAGCTGAAAACATTTCTGGTCATCACAAATGGTTGGGGCACTGTAGATATCTCATGAGTAGAGGCCAGGAGTGCTGCTAAACATCCTACTGGGCACAAGAGAGCCCCACCCCCATGTCAAACAAATATTGAGGCCAATATGTCAATAATGTTGAGGTTGAGAAACCCTGGCCTAGCTACCTTAAGAAATGGACAAAATTGATAACTCCCAACTTTTAGATCCTGAGCTACATCCAGCCCAGATACAAGGAGAGCCTAAATCCTTGAGGACATTGATTGCATGGAGACCTTCTCTAAAAAGCACTGTTGGAAGTGTCATGGCAACCATTCTTTTTTTCCACTGAGGTGGTAGAGAGACATCTCTTCCACTTCCACACCAAACAAGGGGACTTCGAGGCTCTGGGGCTACCACATATTCAGAGACAACGTCTGTATAAAAAGTCCCCTCTGTCTTGTGGTTTAGATGGGCAAAGAGGCCAGTGATGACTCTCACCTAAAAAGTCAAAAGGTGATGTCAGGTCATAGCAGACTTGGTAACTTGGGCCAACTTTTCTACTGAAATCAACTAAATAATCTTAATAAAATATAATCTTCCTAAGAATTATCCTAGGGGTAACTTTTACCTTAGTAAATGGACTGCTGATTACTTATTTGGTATCAGATAGATATGGGTAAAACTGACCATTGGAACAGTCTCAGAAATGAATGATCTGGGCACTGGGCTCTGAACCACCCATTTCCACTGTTAACACCTGTCACAGGTGCCTTTTTCCTCTTCCTGTTCCAGGCTCCACGTCTATTCCTCATCCTTCTTCTTGAGCATAAAGCCTGAGCAGACAGGATGTTATGGCTACAAATATTCATTTGCTCTTCCCTCTTGGAATGTGAATTTGTTCCCCTACTTCTTTGATTGGTTGAGGGATTTTTTAAAAATTAATGTTTTATTCCTTGACAACTTTGGCTTTTGTTAGAAATGCTATTCTTTTGTTTATAGTTGCATGTGCACAGATATAACTGAAGCAATTGAAAACATTTATTTCAATAGGAGAAATGGCATTTTCATTGCAGAGTGTCCAGATTTAATTCTTCATACACACATGTACCAACAAGTGCCAAATCAGGTTTTTGTGGATCAGATAATTCTTTGGAAAAAACCTTTGTTCAATATTAGTTACAGACAAATATAACCATGAGGCACATAAAATTCTGTATGTTCCTCTTTGGTCTTTAAAATAAAATATGCAGAAGAGGGAGAGAACATGATGACCTATTATAAAGACCCCTAGACCTACAGTAGTATTACAGCCAAGTTAATAAGCACACACACCCCACATACTCCCCAACACTGAACAATACTGGTCCCAAGCCCAGACCTCAGCCCTGACTGGGCATCAGACTCAGACTGCACTACTTCCTAAGCCTCTCTGGTCAGTGCCACAGTATCAGAAGAAAAGAAAGGGAGTCTGATGGCTATTAGTTGTACCCCCACAGATGTCACTAACCATGTCACTCAAATGTCTGGTATTGACTTGGGTTCCTACTTAAGAGACTGTGTATGTTGAAACTGTCTGATTATCTCAGAGAGAAGCAAGACGCAGTATTTCTTTTTTTTTTAATTTTAATTTATTATTTTTAAAATTTCTTTTCAGTGTTCCAGAATTCATTGTTTATGCACCAAAACCCAGTGCTCCATGCAATACATACCCTCCTTAATAACCACCACCAGGCTCACCCAACACCCTACCCCATCCCCTCCAAAACCCTCAGTTTGTTTCTCAGAGTCCACAGTCTCTCATGGTTCATCTTCCCAACCAATTTCCCCCAACTGACTTCTCCTTTCCATCTCTCCATGTCCTCCATGTTATTCCTTATGTTCCACAAATAAGCGAAACCATATGACATTTGAGTCTCTCTGCTTGACTTACTTCACTCAGCATATTCTCTTCTAGTCCCGTCCATGCTGATATAAAAGTTAGGTATTAATCCTTTCTGATGGAGGCATAATACTCCATAGTATAAATGGACCATATTTTTATCCATTCATCCTTTGACAGGCATCTTGGTTCTTTCCACAGTTTGGCAAGTGTGGCCGTTGCTACTATGAACACTAGGGTACAAATGGCCCTTCTTTTCACTACATCTGTATCAAGGAGCAGTATTCCATTCCCCACAGACTTTCAGCAATTGTGAAAACTCAAGCTGAAGGTGCTGGCAATGCACAAAATGGAATTGATTACATTTAGCTCCATTGGCTGCCAGAAAATTAGCTAAATGTTGTGTCTGTCCAGAAAATCATGCGTTCATCATAAAAATCTGTAAATAAACTTATTTGGAAGAAAGAATTGATGCTTAGAGAGGAAGAGATATGTTTCTAAATACATAGTCCATTCTTTTTTGATTGCACTATTAAGTCACTTTGAATTCCCTTAGTGTTTGTTAACTTTACAAGAATATATTCTGGCATTTGCTGATAAACACAGGTGGTCCCACTCCTGCTGCCCAGCCCAGCAGAGCCTGGTCAGGAAAGAATGACCAGTTAATCAAGAAGCCAGGGCAAAAGGGTCACAGCAGGCAGACATCTGAAAGAGTTCCTGTCTGCCCCAAGACCCTACCTGCTAGTGGAGGAGAAAGGGGTAAGGAAAATCATGTATCTTCTCTGTATTGTAATCTTGCTTTAGCAGAATATATCATAGATCAACAACAAGGAGAGTGGTCAAAACCTTGTACATGGACTAAAGGGCAGAAAAGGAAGGGACAGAAAGGGAGGGAGAGGGAGAATGTAGTGTGGAGTCCAACATGAGGAATGGATCTCACAATTCTTGAGATCATGACCTGAGCCGAAATCAAGAGTCAGATGCTAACCTAATGAGCCACCCAGGCACCCCACAATTAAAATATTATTCAACAAAGTCATTTTTCCATTTTTCAGTAATAATAAAAATATAACTTGAAAATATAAAAACCACATATTATTGCCAGGCAGAGAATGTACATTATGTTCATTATCATTTTTAGAGTGATAACATAATTAAATTCCTGAAAAATATTTGCAACTGCCCCGCAGAACAATGTACTACTTAAAATATAACCCCCGGGAAATTTTACTAGTTACCAAGCACATTTAGATACAGCCTTAAGAAAAACAGATACTGAAACAGGCCTCTGGGGGAGAGGACGATATATGGCCTTGAAGCTGAGCAGCTGGGGATGCCCAGCTCGCTCAAGGCAGGACATTTTTCCGTTATCTCCCCTTTCCCCCCGGAGAGCACCTGTGGCTACTTAGATAAGTCCTTTGAATGTGCTTGTTCAACTATAAACTTTATACTACTTGTACAGACATACTCTGCCCTCCTTCTTGTTTATCTACAAGCCATATGACTAACGTTTGACTTTCATCGACTCTTCTGCTGGTTACTGTTTCTAATAAAAGCGAGACTGTGGAGTTGCTCAGGGCAGCCGTCTTTTCGACTGTTGTCCCCTGCTCCCAATCTCTTGCAGCTGACTTATTTGTGCCTAATTCTAATTGCCGAGTGGAAGTGGCAATATTTATTACAGCAATTACAGATATAGAAACTCAGATATGAAATAATTAAATAACTCAGCTACCATCCAAAGGAGTAAGTAGTATAGGAGGTACTTATTTTCATAGGTCATTAAAAACATACACAGTAACATTTTAAGGATCTGATAAATTTTCAAAACATGAATGGGTTTCAAAACTAAATGGGTTAAGTGGTGAAGAAGGGTGTTTAATTAACTCTGGCACTTAAAAATAATCTGCTCATAGATAATTTAAAGAATTCCAATATTTCTTACAATAATAAGTCAACCAAATAAAGAAAATATGAGGCCAAATACGCAAATGCACATTTATATGTACATTTATATATAAATATGCATTTATATATAAAATTCCAAGCACTTTTTTTCTATTTGTAAATATATAAAAAAATTCAAAGCAACACTAAATGATAGGTGTCTGGTATTGTTATTTTCACATCTCATTTTTCTCATACTTTCTTCAAGGAACAACTCTTACTTATATGTGTTCTCATATTTACAGGCTCTGTGTCTTTGCATGAGTCACTTCTCTTTTCCACTGTCCTCTTTTGTGAAGTGGAGATTAATCATAATAGCTATCACATGGGGCTACAGAGAGGATTAAATAAAATAGTACAAGAAAATGTTTTAAAACAATATTTGACAAATTGCAAGTCCACAACAAATATTAGATGTATATTAGTATATACATAGTATATACTATATATGTATATTAGTTATAATATACTATATTATATTAGTTATAAAGTCATATTATTAGATATGAAATACAACACTTTTTTGAAAATGATCATGCCTGTGACATCATGCTTATGAGACAGTTGCAAAGCTCAGGGCAAGTAGAAGTTAATTTCCAGAGATTGCTCTGACCCCTGTATTTCCAGCAATTGCAGCCTAGTCCCTTCTTGGAAGTATCTAAATTGCAAATAAAATTTAATTTCTTTGAGTCCTAATCTGCCTGGTGACATCTCAATTAACTTTAGAAAACACAAAATACTCTGGTGCTTGTGTACATATTCAGTAATGTCAATGAGATATTTCAGTGTCCAGTTGTTGTTTTGTTGTGCTGTGTTATAAAGAGTAAAGGTCAGATATCCTATTTGAGTCTTGAATCAACTACAAATCAGACAGACAGACATAGGGGCTGAACCCAGCAGTCATGTCCTTACTTTTCTACAGTACAGGATTCCAGGGGAGATGGCTAAGTGGGTGTGAGAATTATCCTATCCTGGGCTAGATGGACACATTCACACCAGGAATTTCTTTCCAGATTGAGAGCCTTCTTACCCCATCTGCCCAGCACTCACAGGGCACAGGAAGCCCCAGACCTGCTCAGATCTGTGGCTGATCATGAACAACCCCATGGAACTATCTAGGTCACCACTTCTTCTGAGAAACCTGAACCAGCTCCACCCTCCAGCCACTGACCTGACAAGTCCTGCTAACAGGGACCTCACTTCTTACCTTGTCAACTGGGGAGCCAGCCAGGCCAACAAGATGCCACTGCTTGAAGCTGTCATCTTCTCATCCCTCTTGGTCTGTGAGTTGTCCCCCAGTCACTTCAGTCAATAGAGGAGACTGAAGAAATTGTTTCCATGTAATTTGTTCATGGGAATTTCTCTTTTTGGTTGCAGTTGGCCTTGGGCAGGCGATATTGGAGCAACATGAAATATCAGTTTCCAGAGCAAGAGATAAGAGTGCCCACATATCATGCAACGTGTCTGCTAAGGACTTCAACAGTGAAACCATATACTGGTACTGGCAGAAACCAGATCAGGAGATAGAATATCTAACAGATGTCATAACAAACCGTGTTCAAGTTCCCTTAGATGGGAAGAACAACAAATTTGAGGCAAGTAAAAACACTCATACTTCCCCTTCAACATTGAAAATAAATTTCCTAGAGAAAGAAGATGAGGCCGTGTACTACTGTGGCAGCTGGAATTGGATCCACAGCATCACAGTTGCCAAGAGAAGCTGCACAAGAACCCTCTTCAGGTCTGACCCACCCACATCCTTCTCAATATGGGCAACCGCAGAGGCTGCACAGCTGGGTGCCCAGCCTGAGTCTTGCCCTCTGCAGTATTTCCTGAACTTTATATGAAGACATCATAGATTCTGCTCAGACAGTGAGCCCCATGTGATATCAGCAATTATGGTCCAAATTATAGCAATCTGACACGATTTCCCACTAAATTCAACTGTCTGGAAACTATGAAAATACAGCGTGGATGGGTTAGAGAAAAAATCCATTTGTCTTTTATTTCACTGTGGAGACAGGGAAGTCTAGTATCTGAATGGTTCAGAATGAAGACAGAAAGGGGTACACATTTAACATAAATAGTTCTGGTTATTATTACTTACTGATGTTATTCATGGACATTACAGTTCTTTAGTGGTGCAATAATCTGTTGGATGTAAAAATTGTATGTCTTTTATTAGTGTCTGAGGCCATCCTGAAGGAATCCAGTGACCATTAAATCTCAAAGAAAACAATCAGCTATTTTGGGTATAGGAGAGACCAATGTATAAATCCTGTATCCTAGAGGTAGAAGTGGTACATCACTCCAGGTTCAGGGATCAGTGCTGGGAGAAAACCAGCACTGCCCCATTAGAAGAGGCCCCTGAGCACATCAGGCATCTCCAGCATGGGGGATATGCCTCTAACTTTGTTTTCCAGGGTTCTACAAAGAAACCAAAGATCCCAAATAAGGATCAGATGGTTAAAAAGAAGGATAATACACACTCCCTACATCTCTAAAGAAAAGAAAGGTAATGTCCCTCACAAATTAATAAAATAAAAGATAATTATTGAGAATTGAGTTTTGTGATTAGTAACTGGTTAGCTATGAGATTTCAAAAATAGGGAAACAGTGTAATGTGTGAAAATGTAAAAGTCCCCTCCCATCACTCAAGGGTCTACTTTCAAAGGATGAGGAAAACCTTTACTTCACAGAAAATTTATTGCCTTTGGTAACATGGATATCTGATCACAGAATTGCCATACCTGAGGTTTACCTCTAGTTCCTGAGATCATGACATTCTCTTTCTAAGAATCAGGTGGTGTTATCAAATGCAGAGACACTATGGAAGCAGAATGAATTACTCCCACAACAGAGTCAGCCCCTTTCCACAGGCGAACTCGGGATCTTGTGTCCCACACCCTGTCATCATGATTCCTGACTGGGGAGGGTCCCAGCAGGAGGAACCTGAGGGCCTGGGTCTCAACAGGGCCTCACCTGTCCTCTAAGGTGTCTATAGAAACAAAGTAAGAAGACCCCTGAATGGAATATAGAGCAAGAAAACATGAGCCCTTTCCAGGGAGGAGTAAATGAAAGAGGGATTAAGGTTTTCACAGTATGTGCTAAATACTTTACACAGATTATTTGATTAAACCAATAGAGCAGTACAGAACTGCATTGAAGTGGGCACATGGGGACTCATCTCAGGAGATGCAGCTACCCTGACTTTTCAACACACAACAACGGGGAAACACTACAGTGATGAACAGGAGGGAAGAGGGCTTCTTACCTATGAGGTTTTGAAGTGTCAAAGTACTATGGAGCCCTTAAAAACAAATTTTTTTGACCAATTATAAGTAAACAAGCATAATCACCACATATTAGCAAGGAAAATGTCAAATACAGAAATGGTTTACATATAGTAAACTCTCCAAGGGATAAAAAGAACAAATGCAAAGGAATTCTTTAAAGAGTGGATGTTCCTGGAAGGATAGGTGTTTTTAATTCTTCTTGGTACATGTACAGATTTTGTACATTTTATCAAAAAGCTTCTGTTATGTATACATAACAGCCAAAATTTATTGATTTATACATTTAATAATGAGATCGTTCACATAACAATATAGACTAAATATATACCTTTAAGAGATACTTAATATTATTATATACTTACCATTTCCTGTGGAATAATATTATATTATTACACTGTATCCCCCGGGGGGGGGGGGGGGGGGGGCTGAAACACTACAATTAATCATAATGGTTACCACGGAACAGGAAGTCAGCAAACTGTGTCTATACCTAGCAGCCCCCAGTTTTGTAAATAAAGTTTTACTGAAACATAACTTTGTCCATATGTTTACAAATTATCTATAGCTGCTTTTGTACTACAATGGCAGAATTGAGTAGTTGCAACAGAGACCCACAAAGCCTAAAATGTTACCATTTAGCCCTCTACAGAAAACATTTGCCAGTCACCACTCTATGATACACTGAGAGTATATCATAGAGTGACATTGATTGTTATTTTAGGTTTCCCTATTTCTCAGTGTTTCTTCAATGACCCTTTACTACATATCCACCTTTCCCATATTGGCTGTCTTACTCTGGATAAATTGCATAATGTATCTCTGATTCATTTTCCTTATTTTAAAATGGAATATGTATTAACTTTAAGGAGGTGTCGATAAGAGTAATGTCGATAATACATATAAAGCTCTTACAAGTGCTTAGAGCATGTCTAATGCTCACCATATTGAGACATTGCATTGCTTATATGGGTTATTATGGCATATTTGAAAATGAAATTATTTAGATCTGTATTCCAAGTCCTTGATACTCAAAGTTTCATTCCTGGACCAGCAACATCCACTTCACCTAGGATCTTGTTACAAAGGCAGAAAATCAAACCTCAACTAGTGCTACTGAGTGATAATCTCATTTTGCAAGGTTCCCACAAAGAAAGGCAGGCAGGGAGAAGGGGTCCTGCCTTGAGAGGAAACAACCTGTGAGAGGATTTTTCTCACCCTGCAAGGAGGCTTCCACCCTTTCCCACGTGAACAACTACCGAATAGGTAGATGAGTTTGTGAACAAAAAACCTGATTGGGTGACAGGAGCATGGAGTGCTTGTCAGATAAAAACAGTTCACCAACAAGGCCATAAAAACCCCTACACTTAGGAACTTTGGGGTGGGGGTAGGCAACTCTCACAGGGCCCCTCCCATTGGGGAGTTTATGTACTACGGCTCAATAAACTTTGCTTTGCTGCCCACCACTCTTCTTTCATCTGATCTACTTCTTCATTCTTTGAAGCAGCATGACCAAGAACTGTGGCCACTAAAGGAAAAGAAGTTCTGCAACACCCAGACAACCCACACAGTCCTCCTCTCAGGTTTGTATCCACCTGCATCCTTCCCTACATGAGCACCAGGAGCAGCTCCTCAACTTGTTCTCAGGGCTGGACTCCATTTCCCAGGACTTCTTCTTCAACCTCTGAAAACTTGAATTATGTTCACACATTAGGACCTACAGAAACCTAGTCGTGTACTCTTTTTTTCTTAACTGTCCAGAGATTACCTGAATGTTTAACATTGCTCAGATCCAAAGAGGAAATCACTGAGTGCCAGGAAACACCTTGCTGATATTACATATGTGTATATAATCATCACAACATTCTGTAATGTAATATTCATTTTGTCCATTGTAATATGAATAATTTGAGACTTAGAAAGATGAAATAACTTTCAAATCCTTCATTCCCACTTTCTTCCTCCATCAGGTCTTCTGAAGCAGTTTAGCATTTATTTGCTTTGTACATACTGGGGAAGAACATGGACAGGAGCTCACAGCCTCTCCTACAGTGAGAAGTGAGAATTATAGATCATTCCACACTGTGGATCAGGGGACAGCCCCAGCAGCCCACTTTCTTCTGCACAAGCCTCAGATCCTCCAGGGCAGGGAGGGGATATTAGTGTTCACACAGACCTTTTCCCCCAGGGTTCTGCTGTGAGCCTAGGGAGGATTGCAGGGGCAATTTAGTCAGAGCTGCTGCTCTTTCTTAGGCACTGCGCTAAATCCCTTGAAATAGTCTTTCTCATCCTGTGACAATACTGTGATACTGCACTATCATGATTCACATTTTACAGATGAGCAGACAAAAGCATAAGACGTTGTTTACTTTGTGGTCATGGAGTTACCGAATGGGATGGAGGGCTGGTTTCTGGCTTCAATGTCTGTCCTCGTACTGGGTACCGTCCTGCCTCTGAAGCACGAACAGTAGAAATGGCTTCTCCTCTGCAGTTCCTACAGCCAAAGAGAAGACAAACTGTTATTCATAAAATAATTATTGACACAAATAGACAACTATTCTTTGCTGAGTCTGAATAAATGTAAGTACATTGGCTGATTGGACTTTCAAATTATAAAACAACAACAAAATATAATAGCAAACAATAAAACAGTATAAGAAATAACAAAATATTTTTTTAAAAACATAGCATAGTATTTTCTTTCCTTTTTTTTAAATAATAGAAAATAAATAAATAAGTCCTTTTTCTTTTGAAAATTTATAATAGGACACATGCCCCTGGCATTCCTGGAACACAACCATGCCTATTCATTTTATAACTGTCTATGACTGCTTTTGAGCTATATGGCAGAGGTGACTAATCACAACAGAGACCTTTAAGCAAAAAAGCCTGAATAAAATATAAAATATTTGTTATCTGACTCTGTACAAAATAAATATGTATTTGCCAGCCTCTGCAATGCAACACAAAGTTAAGGAATGAGTTGGTAACTATAACTAAAACTCAAGATGCAATAAGAAAAAAAAATTGATAAATTATACTACGTGAAAATGAAAAAATAAAAGCCAACATAACAAAAAGTAGCATGTTACACCAAAGGACAAATGACAAGTCACTAGGAAATAGATGCAATTTATAGAGCACATAAAAGCCAACTATCCTCGATACAAAAAATACATTTAAAAAATGGAGGTAAAACGTTTGAAATATCCTGTAAGAAAGTGACAAAAGACATGAAAAGCCAACTTATGAAGAGAAATATAAAAATAGCCCTTAAACATATTAAAAATGCTCAATTTCACTTATAAGATAAAGATCAATTAAAACTACATTGAGATATAATTTCTCACCCATGAGATTGGCAACAATTTAAAAGTTTGACAATATATTCCATTGGTGAA